CCACCCAGGTCACCGAACGTCACTTTGAAGAAGCCTGTTATCTTCAGTAGACAAAGAAAATCTTCTCATAGTGGAAAATGGGCGTATTGAATAAAGACGTTATGAGATTTCCCGATTTTCGAGACCGGTCCTTCCGCTGTGACGGATAACACGCATCCAGACAAGGGAGACATTTCTTAGCTTGGACAGCTCTGTATCATGTTAACTATTTTTCAATAGTGAAAACTGTCCTTCTCTGTACATATCGAACACTCTTAAATAGTGATCATACTACTCATCTCTCAAACATCAAAGCAAAAACAAAACAAAAATCTTCACTGAGATGTCGTTATAAGTAGTCGCTTTCTTCAACGCTTGACAAAATATTTTAAATTTACCTCCAAAAGAACCAAGAAAAAGCTCTCTATTCTGTCGCAAAGTCCGTGCATTATCTACTCTTGTCGAACTTCTTAAAGCTTACGTCCTCTTTCACCACCTGTAAGTGAGAATGCAACAGCTTTGTGCCACCCACATGTTCACATTTCAGAGCGAGCATTAAAAATTAATCGTACCCGTCACCACCTTGGGGATTCCCTGCGCCCATCATATTTACCAAACGGCCTCCTAATACTACTAATGGGCGATATCGTGAAGGTTGGCAGGCACTGATCGGACCGAGCCTCTCAATCTTCACGTCTCAGTATAGTTCCCAGTGTGGCCATTGAGGGACAACTTTCGTGTCCCACAGAAGGAGGTTATAATACAGTATTGGAGGCTGCTCTGTGGGCGGCAACGCGTGACCATAGTTGGCGCCATTTTCTATGTTCCCCTGGTGGTGTTGCGCGCGGTGCCGCGAAGAGAGAGGGCAGGGTCCATTTGTTGGTCCCAAATTAGACTAGCGTGTAGGTAGTTAGTAGTGTAGTATAGAATCTTTGGTTGGAAGGCGCAACTGGTAGGTCCTACTTTTTCACCTTCCATCTCTTCTTTCTGTCTGTGCTGGAAGCTGGAGTAGAGCGCTACTGGTAGGTCCTACTTCTTTATTTACCATCTATTGTTTCTGTTTGTCTGTGTGGGTGGTTGGATAGTGCTACTGGTAGGTCCTACTTCTTTACTTTCCTTCTATTGTTTCTGTCTGTCAGTCTTAATTTTTCTCAGCACTAAATGACCATTATTGTGTCAATATTCTTCTCTATACCAACCCCCTAAAACATAAGATAAAGGAAAAAAACAGACTCCCTCCCCAAAAAGGCCCCCCCCAACAACAAATAAACAAACAAACAAGCAAGCAAACAAATAAATCAACCTGTTTTTGTCATTCTGATTTCTTCCTCTTTTGTTCTATTATAATGTTTGTGAAATGCTACATTAATATTTTCCCTGAACTCCACATTATGGGGGCCTCAGGTGTTTAAACATCTTAGGGTCCAGTTCAGCCAGTACAATGTACTTGTGTGGTTGCTTGGCCTACTTCGCACAGACTGGGTCTTCATCAGGGAGGCTATAACAGTAAGGTCCTTGGTCTGCACTCACAATGGGGCTTCATATGGGTCGTTGTTACATCATTTGCAAAAGACACATCTAAGAAATGTGGGTGTGTGTATTTGTGGGTGTTTGTGTGTGTGTGTGTGTGTGTGTGTGTGTGTGTGTGTGTGTGTGTGTGTGCGTGCGTGT